GTTTTCGAGATGAATTTCTTTAAGAAGAGTGGCTTTTACTTCAGCAGGGATAACAAAACACACAACATGATACAGCAGAATTGAAACTGCACAATCCCTGTCCTGTATTTTGATGACTGTTTACATTTCTTGCTGCAGTTTGACGGCTATGTGTACTGGACAGACTGGCAGACTCGGTCTATCATGAGAGCAGACAAGGAGACTGGACAGAACATGGAGACCATCCAGGGGAACATCGAGGGTCTCATGGACATACAGATGGTCTCCAGTCTCAGACAGACAGGTGTGAGATGCTGCTTCAATGTTAAAGACATCTCCAATGCAATTTTAGTGGGGTAAACCTAGATTTTCAAAGTCAATTTTCTGGTCATTCTTCTAATGTAGTAAGTTGAATCAATCCTATCCCATGAATGAAGTTAATATAATGAAAAGTGAATGTGATTGCAGGGACCAACCCTTGTGCAATAGACAATGGTGGGTGCAGCCACTTGTGTTTGGCCAGGACTCAGGGATACGTGTGTGCCTGCCCCAACATCCCAGACCACAGGGCCTGCTCTACTGGTAGGGATTGTCCTGAACCTACATTCGTGTATCTAGAGTGAATTCACCTTGAGTCCACCTTGTTAAGTGTTATGCTAAACTATGTATGAGCTATCAATGATGATGATTTGTAACCATAATGGTAACCATGAATACAGAGTGTACCATATTAACAATAATTGTCACTGAATGTTATTTGATGTTTGTACTTTTGAAAATTGATATGATTGAATGAATGAATGAATGAATGAATGAATTTAAGTGTAATTAGAGCAGGTTACATGCATTTTGAAGCAAGGTTCATTGCAAATCAACTTTAAGTACACTGGTGTTATCAATCAATCAATTGTGTTGTTGAAAAAAAAAACTTAACCATAGGTCATGATGTCTCTTTGATATCCCACAGTTCCAGGTGTTCCTGCCTTACCTCATACCCAGGCTGCAGCTACAGTAACCATGACCCCCCAGCCTGACGGAGGAGCACAGACACACGACAACAGAATACCAGAGGGGACAGGGGAACCAACTGTGGAGTGAGTCATCACAGTTTAGATTCTGTTTCTTCATTATCTATCCTCTTGTATGTGTTGCCCTTTGTTTCTTACAGAAACATTTTGATGGTGATGAAATAATTTCCTTTATGGATTACATTAATGTCACAAATGCATTGCTGTTTGAATTTCTCATCTGGATGTTGATTTAAAAAAAATTTTTTTTTTTATTTACTTCAATTTTCACTGCAAAACAAGGGTTATACAGATCACTCACATGTTTGGGACTGTAAAGACAGATGTTTGTTTACTTGAAAAGTTTAAGGTTGTACCCATTTGGGAAGCATTTACAAGGAAGCTTGTTGCAGAGTGAATTACAGATCCTTCACTATTACTCTCTCTTGTGTATTACACTGTCTTGTGTTTTTGTGCTTGTTTGTGCTTAATCTTTCAGTTTTACACTTGTGTTTTTTGTGTGTTTTTTTTAGTGTGTGATTTATGCTGATTCTACTGTCTTGTACTTTCAGATGTGATAACAGAATAGGAGGAGACTGCCAAGCTGAAAAGATAGCAAGCAGAGCAGAAGGTCAGTTTGTCTTTTCAACATTCAATATTGTTTCAGGGATAATGTAAGGTCATGTGCAATTTGATTATATGGACAACCTCTGGGAACCCCAAAACAGATGCGAGTGTGCAAGTAAAAAAGTGGCAAAAAAATTTACTTTCATTATGAAATCTGCGTGGTCATGAAGGTGGAACAAATGACCAAACACACAGAGTATGGTATGGCGAATAATAGACCATTTGCATTTTCTTCTTTGCCTTTGGAATTGATTTTGGCATTCTATGACATTAGTATTGTTTTCTAATATTTTTTTCAGTTTATGGCATTGTATTTGTTTTATATCTGTCACATATACAAGGTATCTTTGATACTTATTTTGTTTGCATTAATGCTGTCTTCTCTGGTACCTTAGACGGTGGGATCCACCCAGCCTACATAGTCCTGGCCATTGTACTACTGCTGGTGATTGTCGCCGTCTGCCTCTTGGCTGTCTTTTTATGGAGGTATGTGGGTAACATAAATATAGAGAAAGGAAAGGAAAAAGTGTATGGCACATGTTTGTACACATTGTTGTGCTATGGGCACTGTGGACTTCTTTCTTGGAAACTAAACAATAGGCTTTGATATAGTATAACATTTGTGTTATGGAGCAACTACAATACATATTTACATGTATGAGCATGGTGCCAAGTTATTTACGTATGAGCATGTTACCAAGTCTTTGACAGCATACAACAATTTGCTAGTGACAAAGTCATCAACCTGTGGTAGTTTTTTCCACTCTCTAACTACAATAAAATGTTGTGTGTATATATGATAATGGAAACAAATCATTAACAATTTTGTTTTTCTGTCAGAAGAAGGAAAAGGCGGCAGGCAGCCAGTGACAGCACCATGACCTTCAGTAACCCCGTGGTGTACCGGGCAGGGAATGATGCCATCGTCTCCATAGAGAGAAGAGACAGAAGATGGCTCTACAATAAAAAGGAGGTCAGTGTTACATCAGTGTTAAGGATGCATGTAAAAGTCTTAAGTTCAAGTTTTTTTCATTCCAGTACAGATTTGCCTGGTAGAGCTGTCAAAGTACATTGTGTGTCTTACTTTCTTTCCCTGTAGGATCAGTTAAGAAACCCACTTATAACAGAAGACAATGGGGAGGAGTGTGCATCCAAACTTTGTAGAGTTAGTCTTGTGAGGGTAAGAAAGTATGCAGTCAGTGGTGGAGGCTTCATGGAAAGGGGAAGGTGGCTGGATATTGTGGAAAAAGCAAAGCAGCCAGCAAATACATTGTGTTATAGCTCTTTTTAGCAGCTTGCCTTTGATTCTCATGATACTGCTCTTCTGATGGTCAGAAAGGTGTTGAGAGTTTGACAGATCAAAGAAATGGTTACCCTGTGTAACAAAGTTAGGCTATCATTTATTCTGTTCAGTCTTGTGTTTTTTCTACTACATAATAAAGTCCAGTATGGTGGAATGCTGGGACTGTTGTTTTGTTAACAGCTATATAGGGAAGATCCTCCTTCTGGTGTTGATTCTGTTCTTTGCTGTCTGTGCCTAACCTTTCTGTGTCTACCCCAGGACCGAGTGACAAACCCCCTCCTGAACCCCCAGCCCAAGCTGAACAACCTGGCCGCAGCCGAGGCGGCGTCCAAACTCCTGGACAAGGAGGCGTACACCAAGGAGGACCCCTGGCAGAAGGGCAACCTGTACGTCGACCTTCCACCCAAGGACCTCCGGGACGACGACGTGACAGAAAAAATGCTGGCCCACGAGGCGGAGGCAGACGATGTCTGCTGTGGGTCCATAGAGAGCGACGTATGAGCTGTAGGGTCAGAGGTCGATGTTTGAGACTAGTACCCTACAGCCAAGGTTGTATATGATACAATAGTACTTCCACGTAACAAGCAGGTACAGCCAGATCCTTCCCACCTGTAAATAGCGACTGTAAGTTGTCCTGTACATTTTGAACTCGGGAGGGAGACGGCACCTTCTGTACTCCAGTATGGCCTCTAAGAGGATGAGACTACAGGATGCTGGACGTTGTAATAAGACTACTGATTGTTTGATGTACAGAAATGATGGAGTGTTTATGGTACGTGCAATTGGTATTGTGCAGAGTAACAGGCCGTTCGTCGGGTTGGCGCTTGACAGAAAAACCGGCACGGGGGTGAAACGATTCCCTTGATTTATTTCCAAGCTGTGCCTTTGAGATGTCTGCCATTACTTTGACAGAATGAGCCACTATCTGGCTATGTACTTAACGTATAGGCTCATGGTAGAGCGCAGGGCCATCTATGGTTATGTTGAACAGTATTATTAAATCACAAACCAAACCAAATACTAACTCACAACTTAAACGGCCTTAACATGCACACAATTAGAATTATGTAGTCATTAATTAATCAATTAGAACAATGAATTGTAAGGAAGGAAGCAAGAGGATGTCAGAGTCTTATAAAGGTTGACTGTCTTCCATGATTTGGATGCAGTGAAGTCAACATTCTTAGACATATGGCAGGAATAAGGAATTTGGCAAATTATTCCTAGGCATACAGTGGCCCTGTCAGTCACAAGATACAAGAGGAGGCATGTGATAGTTGCCATGTGAAAACTGCATTGTGATACCCACAAACTGCAGTATGAGGCCTAAACGTATCAAAAGGTCATTGCAGTAGTCAGTAACAAGGTGTATGGCAAAACGGAATCCTTGCATATTACACTTTCAATATATTTATTATAGTACACACAACATGGAGATTGGTGTACTCAAAGATGAGGAGCCTCATTCAACATAGAAGAGCCTGTGTTGAGGAAATGTTCATACTTTGTCATTACTAACATATATTTATTTATATCATGCACCACTTAAAAAGAAATTCCTGTTGCAACACATTACATACTAATTATTTTTGTTGATGTAACTCTGTCAGGTGTATCACTAATCCCCACTGTAACTAAATGATTGTAACCAGCAAGACTGACAACCAGCAGAGATTGCTTTTTGAGTAGCTGGTCATGAAATGGTGAGAATGTATAGCTGATGAAACTGTAAGCTAGTCAGTTGGCAGTTGGAGTAGTCCAAAGGGCATCTGTACATGTGTTTAGCCTGCACAGATGTTTTCTAGCTTGGGAAACTGTTTACTTTGACAGATTACTGATATTACTGATAGTAACCTCAAAATTGCATGCCTGCATCAGGAAACGTTTACTGTTGGTCACAAATGTATTTCAAAGTATTTATCTTCTTAAATTGTATATGACTTTGATTTAACTCCTACAGTAGGCTTGTCCCATTTGAGTTGGCAATGTTTAGGTTGGTTCTTTCTCTGGTATCACACTGCCATATCGGAACATTTTAGTTTACAGCCAGTTACATTGTATATGAACAAATACCTCTTGTTTGTTAGTAGTGCAACAATGCATGAAGACAAAATGCTAGTTTGTTAAGCCAAGCTTATATCTTCTCAACAACAGTGTGCATTGTGGTAATGCTTAGATGCTGTTATTTCTTCATGACATGCATGATGTATCTTTTGCAAGTCGTGACATATTGGACTTGGTATTATGCACAGTAGCAAAGCCGGACAGGTTTATGATAACTCAATATTTAGTTTTGTAGAGCATGTCCCAACCTATTGACACTGTTAGTTTGCCCTTATAAGTTACAGTAAAGTCAGCAATAGGCAGCAGGGAGACAGGTCAGTCAGTGTGTACTGAAATTTGATTTACTACATTTACTTTGTGTACTGTAAGTTTCCTCATAGACTTGTAATGAACGTATGTGTCCTTAATGTACAGATATTAATGATTTATTTTTCTATAATGAATGTTGTAACATGACTAATACATGTAACTGTGAGAGAAATAGACACTGAGAAAAGCCTTTGAACCAGGGCCACTAAATTGTGAAATCATTGTCATCATAATACAAGTCAAGAAATATGACAGCAAAGACAAGTAATGTCTAGAAGAAATGAAAGTGCACTGTGCGGTATCTTTTTTCATAATTATTTTCATGCCCTTAATGTCTTCTAGCATCCCCTTTCCTTCTGAAAGCTGTCGTTCATTCTCATATTTGACTGTGTACTGATGTATTTGCCCATGTGGCACTTGTATTCTTGAGTCGATGTAGTCATACCGGTAGTGACATTTTATGTTTGTGCACTGGCCTTTAGAAAGTGTTGAAACCAAGGGTTTAGAAACTGCCTGAATCTTGCAACATTGGTTAGATCACTGGAGAACCAGGGTTACTGCTGTCTCTCTTTAGATTAGCATTGCTAAGTATAATATTTATATATTACAGTTCAGACTGCAGATACTGAAGTATCCATTATTTGTACCTCACTGTTGAATTGTTCAGTATTGTTTGCAGTTCTAACAGACTTTTGTATATGATTAACCATGGACAGAAAAATTTGATGATGTCATTTCCTTGATTTTGAAACTGCATTGTTCAATCTTTGTACTTTTTCCTTTGAATATTTTACAATTGTACAAAGTCTGTAAAAAGTCATGACTGGTGACTCCTATGTAACAATAGTGCAAGTAATTATTGACAAACTCCTTGGCAAGAAGAGAGATTTTGCTCCAGAACACACTCTATGCAAGTGTGCTTTTCTTGCAAGATATTACATTTATCAAATTGTAGTTCATTCAATGCTATTTAGTTTGCCCCAGTCAAACTTATTGATGTATGTAAATTGTAGTGTTTGTTACATGACATTAGTTCTTGTGAAACTTAAACTGGCATATATTCAACGCTGTATAATTTTGTTTTGACCAAGAATGTGCAATATTTGTATCACTACTAATTCATGATTTTCAGTAAACTGGTCTCCACATAAAATGCGGTCTTGTTTGCTGTATTTCCAACTTGGTTTTGATTTTATTCATTCTGATACAGTATAAGTAGGAAGCAGATGTAATTCACCTCAAATTTGCCAGCCCACATCTTTTGGAAAACCATGACTTTTAGGAACTTGAATAATAGTTGGGAAGATTCACAGTTAGAGAGGAAGTAACAATAGTATGGAATGAAGATAACAAATGTTCTGAAATCGTGCACAACAAAAACTCTTCATGTAGTGAGAGATTGAGTGTGTTGTCTTTGGACATTGTGGATATTAACATCAAACCCTGATTATAATTTTATGAGTCTGTATCACGATTCTACACACACACAGAACAACTTCATAACGCAGTGAATAAACCAATAGCAAACTTTATTTATTCAATCCATTTGGCAACTCGCACAAAAAATTATTTCCACAAAAATAAACAGTGCTGTAACTCTGAAATGTCAGTCCATTGAAAACAAACATTGCAGTTTGCTTCAATGTAAGATCATATAAAGAATGTACCAGTACATAATTTATAAAACTGGTTGTAAGATCATGTGTGGTGCCCTAACGGTCACATAATTAGACTAAGGGATAGAGGAAATGGGATATTGAATCAAATGTTTGAGGGTCTTCAGTAGACTTCACAGTTCCTGGAGGTGTACTGTGTACAGATACTGTCCCTGGTGACCTCTGTGAAGTTTGACCTTGAGGTCAGCCCCGCCCCCTCCGCCAGGTTGCGCAGGTTACAATAGTTGGTTCCAAAGTCCAGGTAGGCATACCACACCCGCGAGGTAGAGAAAGCCTGCAAAATACCACAAGTAAATGTATCTCAGGCCATGTTGATTTGATTATATGGATGACATCCTCTGGAAACCCCAAAACTGATGCGCGCGTGCAAATAAAAAAAAAGTTTTGCAAAAAAAAAAGTTGCTTTCACTATGAAATCTACGTGGTCAAGAAGGTGGAACAAATGGCACAGAATATGTTATGGCGAATAATCTACTCTTCAAATTTATTTCTTTACATTTTTGTCTTTTTTCCTTTGATTTTGACATTCTACGACATTGGTATCGTTTCTAAATGTTTTCCTTGCAACTAATGGTATATTTTGCCCATTTAGCAACTGTTTTGCACGATTTACAGTATGGTTGAAAACTTTTTTTTTTTTGGAAACGGACGAAAATTCATGCGCGCGCGGATGTCATCCATATAATCAAATCAACATGGCCTCATGTACAAACAAAGGCAAAAAGGTAGTCCGAAAGCCCTTTTCAGGCTGTAGGGGTGGGGGTTGCTAATGCACTGTGTCTAGGTCACAGCATTGGAAGGTAGAGCACATCCCTCTCCTTTCACTGCTATCTACCTCCCCAACCGAAGTCAGGTACCCATTTTTCACCTGGGTGGAGTGAGGAGTGCCTTTCCCAATTTAAGGACAATGTCATGCCAGGAATCAAACCAATGACCTTTCGGTCTCATGTCCGCTAGCCCACAAATACTTGGCCCCTTGACACTGGAAAAAAGGAAACATACTATCATAATGATTCTAGCTGTTGGCAAAACACTTTAATAAAAAGTACAGTCAAATCTGCACTGAAATGGCATGTACTAGTACACAGCTGTGTATTTTCCAATTTTTTTATTGACATACGCAGTAAGAATCGTGACTATAGTGGCCACCTGTCTACTGTGACCATTTTGTCCCTTGAGTGGTCATAGGATTGACTACAGGCCTACACTGTATACTAAGTACCCTATTTACAATCAACCAATGCTGCATAGCATCGTAAGTCAGGACTGTTGGAAAACGCAGCACTACTCAAACTCAACATTCATAGAATGGATGTTCTGCTAATAAGCCTTATAAGTAGATAATGTACCTATTCATGATTACATGAGTTCTATATGTGTCAGACTGGCTCCTTACAATAAAGCACTTTTGGCAGTTGTCTCACCTTGACATTACATGTTGGAGAGTCCTGGGGGTCCATGAAAGTGAAGGTCATATCATCAACATAACCACGTACAGGTGTGGTGTGGGTCCCCTTCAGCTCTGTACTGGATGAACTGATGAACTGCACAAAAAAAGGAGTGTATGTATGTATTTTAGACTTTGAGATACTACATGTTGTATTTACCTTTCACTTTTGATGTACCCAGTTGGTTAGTGAATCAGACCACAATTTTTCCACCTTGCCAACCATTTAATCTTATTAAAGAAAGGTGCACCGATACAGACCTACCCCCATGTATACAGCTTTCCCCCCTGAAGAAACTGCTGCGCTCTAGCAATGTGCCTAGAAACAAATATTAGTACTGGCTTTTTTTTCTAGTAGTAAAAGGTCGCAACATTTTGATACCTTTATTTTACAAATGTACATATAACATATTCAATATCTGACAAAAAAGAATTGCCGGTACCGTGTAGAGACACTTCTGTCCTCCATCCGGACAGTTGTCCCTGGATGTCCACTTCTCCATCTGGGCTATCAGACTGGTGTTTACAGACGAGCAGTTCTGGTGGAAAGTCCTGAGAGGAGAAGGAATCAACCATTCAGGGCTTGAAATAACATGTAGGTTTGTGCAGGTAAAATTGGAGCTGTGCAGGTCTACTTGCATGCAATGGGTTCATATTCAAATGTATGTGTATGTGGATTTTAACATGTTGCATTGACTGTTAGTACCACCTGTGAATTATAAAAGAAATAATTTTTTTTTCTGAACAGTTTTTAGTATGATCCATCCTTCAAGTATCATTTTCGAACAATAACTGCTGCAATATGTATATAACTTTATCAATTGTTATTGTATCAATCCAGAACTGTTTCAGTGCTGTATACAAGAAATTAAAATCCTTCATATCAAGCTGGTGTCCTTATCTTGCCAAATTGGGGGAGCTGGGAGTGGGGGGATTTCACGAATATCAATAATAATTTTTAGACTTGTTCTCACCAGTTGATGGAGCAGGAGGCGTGGATGGGATAACCAAATCCGAAGTAAACAGCTAACAGCACAACAATCACCACGACAACTGTGACGGCAGTGGCGATGGAACAACACTTACAGGTACAACATCTGAAACAAACAACGGTAGAAAACCTTTATTTGGGATCATGCAACGATTATGTAAAACCGATTTAAACGAAATCAGAAATACTCGATAGGTAAACTTGTCATCATAAACAATCCTTCGTCGCGTCGGTCTTCCAAAATACTAGCCGCGGCAATATATACTAAATTATACAGTAATTTTTAAATCTTTACCTGCAACACCGCCTGCTTCTTGCTTTATTCTCCTGACCTCCATCACTGCCCTCACTGTTAGGCATCCCTTCGAACGATTTATTTCTAAACATAACCTGGCTCTCAAGCGTTCCCTTGTAGTAAGTTAGTACCCTACATGTTTCTAACGGTGCTGTAAAATACAGCGGGGTCAGATGTCACGGCCGATGGTACTTCCGCACCACGAGCGTCCTCTTGCGGCATTGCCCATAATGCAACGATTAGTTCAACATGCGAGGACACACCAGGCGCTAGGCGAAATGAGCAGTAAGGCCATGTTGATTTGATTATATGGATGACATCCCCCGGGAACCCCAAAATTGATGCGCGCGTGCGAATAAAAAAAAAGTTTTGCAAAAAAAAAAGTTGTTTTTATTATGAAATCTACGTGGTCATGAGGGTTGAGCAAATGGCACAGAATATGGTTTGGCGAATAATTTAGTCTTCAAGTTCATTTCTTTACAATTTCGTCTTTTTTCGTTTGATTTTGGCGACATTGGCGATTCTACGACATTGGTATGGTTTTTTTTGTAACTTACGGTATATTTTTGCTCATTTTGCAACTGTTTTGTACGATTTACAGTATGGTTGAAAACTTTTTTTTTTTGAAACGGCCAAAAATTCATGCGCGCGTCGATGTCATCCATATAATCAAATCAACATGGCCTAAGGAGAAGGCATAACTTAGTACAGTCACGATAGATCAAATTCCGCTGTAAAATATATCCCTGTGCTCCGAACGTCCTAAACAGCGAGAAACAATTTGTTTTACCCAAACCAAAGTCTGGAGCAGCCGATTGACAAGCAACCAGTAGGACGACTGATCGCTATTGCCTGTCGGTACGTGACGGACTCAGACCTAGCTGTTGGATGTCCTGAACACATCAGTGGATCCCGTTGTCAAGATCGATCCACTGGACTTTGAAATGACCACACCGACCACACTGCAGAGCCTGATCAGTGAGCCGGTGCCTAGTGATGAGGAGTCTAGTGATGAGGAGTCTAGTGATGAGGAGAGTCAAGTGATGATGAGGAGTCTAGTGAAGATGAGGAGGAGACACAGGAGAATGGCAACACTCAGCAGCAGGTCCGATCCGCCCTGTCAGGAAGTGGAGACGTCTGGCCGCTTTCTTCTCACGCTGCCGCAGGGCTTTCACTTCATGCTGGCGCCGCTGAATATCCAACATTGACATTCTCTATTAATAACAATGAGCTAGAGCCTATATTTATCAAAAGATATTGTAAGTTATGGAATCAAAAGGCTCTGAGTGAATCATTGTCAAATGGTGCTAAGTGGACTATATTTTATACAATACAATATAATATAACGTTATATTTGTATGGACATTTTGTTGTATAAGCCGGTTTTCCAAATATTGTGTATTACACTTCCTAATACAGTATTAAAAAGGCTAGTACTGGCAAATCTAACTTATGATGCAAGTACATGTCTTGTGAAATGTATTGCATACAGGACTGTGTTGTAAACACAAGCAAGGCACAATGAGAGGCAGCACAATACATGCCATCTGAAGTGCATAGTTTTTGCACTGTGGTATGACTGATATGGCATGCACTTGCATGCAAAATAAAAATGAAACGATGACCAGCTAGGGTACCCTCTTTGACAATTCAAGTTTTACTGCTTTGATGACCAGCATTGCCAACTGCCTCCCTTTGCCTCTACTTGGATCAGGCAGATTGAATGGTATAGACAGCTAGAGTTCCTCATGCCTTCGCCGAATCTGACGAATTATGTTTCTCATTGAGAATATGAATAAGATCATTTGCCTGTTGTGATTTAAACCATGAAATTAAATAATGAAATATATTATCCACCTAATGACAGGACATTCTTATTCTAACAAAGAAATCTATTGTATTATAAACCTTTCCTCATAGATTATGCACATGAGGTCCTGTTTTGAATGATTTATGTTAAATAATGTTCATCTTTATTTAACTTGCAAGTGTGAAATTTCCAGGTGTGAAGTTACCATTATGAAATTACGAAATTTCTCATAAATTATCGACAACCGCCTCATCTCGTCTCGCCTCAAGGCACTTATTATGTGGGCGCCATCTTCCGACTTTTCATAAAACTGCAGAAGTGAATCCATCAGCTGGACGAGCGGTTGCCGTGAAACGAAGGGGACGCCAAACGCGACCGTCTTTCACCTTTATTTCAGGTTTCGTTGGGCCTGCAGTTTGATGGCAGTCAACATGATTCTCTAGCTGCTTTCGGAATTCAGCCACGAAGTATGAGCGGGGCTCAGTTTTCGATGTCGGGCGAGGAGTATTTGGGTAAGTCTTGGATCGCTCAAAATTATGTATTTGCCCCCCTCCCCCTTTATACTTGTACAGTATTTCGCACAGGACTCATGCAAAAACAAAGAAAAGAAACCGATAGCTGTTTCGGGGGGTGAATCTGTGCACTAATAATAACCTCGGAATTTTATAGATGTAACGGTATTGCATTGATGTAACTCTATTGAATACATTTAAACAGAATAATATGCAGCCCCCCCCCATACATACATTTCCATAATAACATACATGTAACGGTGACCATGTAAGTTAAGAAGGGGTATTAACCTATGCACAGACATCTCTAAATCCACCGAAAAGAGCTGGCTTTCTTTAGGAGTGACATCTACCAAGCAGCTTGAGCTCAGTATCTGAATATGGTTCATGATCATTAGCAGGTACTTTCCAAATCAATTCTGAGCTTCCATTAAATTCTAATCCACCTATAGGTAAATAATAACACAAAGCACAAAGAGATGTTTTCCAGTGAGGTAAGAACGACTTTTTCCTCCTGCAGCCCGTCATCATGTGATCACATACCTGGAAGACGCCGTCAGTCAGCTGTTGGAACACAAGGAAGAAAACCCACGAGTCAACCCTGCCAAGTTCCTCAGTGACTAGTCAGTACATAATTTGTACTTCTGTTGTTAAAGTAACCAATTTGCTTTGCAAGCAAAATAATTAAGGAGGATGTTTTCTGTATTACCATGTATGATTTTTTTCTCAATATGACCTTTGATATTATTTTTTAGTCATTTTAGTTCTCACTGTAGAAAAAGGAAAGTAGTACACTGTACACACATGTAACGTTACATGTAAATGGGCCAGTAGCTGTTTGTACCAACTAATAGTCTTCCACAATGTTGTAGAGCAAAAAAAGCCTATTCTAACAATCAGTCTTTGGTGGTATTTAAAGTTTATGATATTTGATGCCTCTTGTCAGATTCTCCAGTTTTCAACAAGCTACTACTACTAACAATATTTCTGCATTAGTTTCACCAGTGTTCACCGTGGTAACCACACCCTGTTCCGTGAGTATGAGTATATCAAGGCCACGCCCCACAACAGAACCGCCTTCATCCGCATCTTCTGGAAGTGTTTCCGTCAGGTCGGCAAGAGTGGAGGTCAGAAAACAGACTCAACTTTGTAACCTTGCTTTTTTTTTCAAATAATGTATGTCAGAAATTCTGCAGATAGAGCTTTTACTAGTACGCTGGCAGAATGACTGTATGAAAATGTTTTGTGCATATATCACTTCAGCAGGCTTGGCAGAATGTCTTATTTAATGTCATATTCAGGGATGACATACCATCTATAATATAGATTACAATGTCGTATCCTAAGACAGTAAGAAACATTCAATGAAAGCCATGAAAAATAGAGTTTTGCACAGGCATGTAGTACATTCTGCAGACTTGCATAATTCTCTAAATGAGGTGACTAGTAAATAACTTATTATATTGATGTCTCCTTTGGCAGCTTCACTCCTGTTTTTGGTGCCCAGTTTAAATTTTATCTCCCACCTGTTTTTAGACCTGCTGAATGCGAAGGAGTACCAGTCCTTACTGTGTCTGCTGTGTCCTGACTTTCCACTGGAGCTGGTACAGAAAACAGCCAGGTAAACAAACACCCCTGCTGGTTAAGTGGTACAGCCCTGTCTTCCATTTATTATGTTTTGCACCTTCTCTCTGCAAAGGTGCCAATTGACACAAATTTTGTAGTGGTAACAATACAAGGTACATGTAAGGCAGCAGAGAGAAGGATAATGAAAACATGCCAGTTATTGACACGTTGAAAACTAGTGTGAAACATATCTGTGCAAATGCAAAGTCAGCATAAAGTTCAGCAATTCTGATCAGCATTAACACCTCACATACTTCAGTGATAATCTGATGATACAGACATGTTTACCAGCCCGTGTTTTTACAGAATAGTTCTGATGGACGATGCCATGGATTGCCTCATGTCCTTCACTGATTTCCTGTTTGCCTTCCAACTTCAGTTTTACTATGATGGTCAGTAAAAATAACCTTTGCAATCATTCAATAAACCCAGTCCTTAGAAAGAAGTTAGATGACATGTGTACTAACAAATGATAAATCTATTGATAAGTCATTACTGTACTGTGTTGTTACCCTGTGTAGTGTTGTCAGAGTTAATATGATCATTTTGTTCTCAGTCTATATATACTGCTCTGTGTACATGTACTTCTAAAAATCTAGGAAACTCAGTGTTTCATTATAGTCAATTCTTTGAGCCAGTAACATAATAATGTGTCAATAAAGATATCATATCATATCACATATCACATATCATATCATATATCATCATATCACATCACATCATATCATATCATATATCATATCATACCATATATCATATCATATCATATATCATATCAATAAGATAACCACTAGCTAGTTGGGCAGCCCTTGCTGTATACATGCTTGTCACAAGCGAATACATGCTTGTCACAAGTAGAAAGATAAAAAAGTAATTTTCTTTTTATATATCACTGTATTTTCAGAGTTTCTGTACACGTGTTCCGAGATCTACACTAACATCATGTCCGCCACCCGCGGCAGCCGAGACGCGGTCGTGGTTCCCGCGGTCTCCCGCTCCAAAGGGAAGACTCCGCAGCTGGCGGACGGACCTGACAGCGTGGAGTCGGCACAGTTCTTTGAAGCAGTGAAGATGCTGTGTGAAACATTCCAGTTCAGGTGGGAACGGGGCCTTTATGTTTTTGTTTGAAATTCGTTCTACTGTTTGTGAATTCTGCATTTTAGTGGAACCTAGCTTATATACCTATCTATTTTACTACGCTACTTATTGTTACCTATTTGCCATACAATGTACTCTATACAATTGTCGTGCAATAAAGTTCTTCTTCTTCTATATTGTTGTACCTGAGCCCCAGAACAAAGTCACGGGCACTGCTTTAACATTAGTGGTATCCAGGGCCAAGTCAAAAATGATTTGGAATCGAACAACAATTTTGAAAAATCTGTCCCATCTGACAGTCTGACATTATCACCAATTTGTTTTTTGTTTTAAACAAACTCTGAGACTATCATATTAGAACAGCAAGACAAGAATGGGTCAGTTATGAATATGCCTGATAGAAATAATCTATATTGGCATATTGATCTTTTATCTTTTATTATCGAAGTAGGGAGCAAAGTTATACAGTTTCTGTTTTGTTACCCAGCCACCCCCCAGTGGACATTCTTCGCGGAATCCTGACGTCTGCCCCCAGAGTGTCGTTCTACGGCTTCCTCATGGCGCTGGCGAAACACGACGGCATCAACTCAGCCGTCGGTAAGGTTTTCTGCTTTGTTTCTTTGTTTGTTTCGCATAACGGTAAACCGCCTTTAGGCGTAACACACCAGTTTTACAAGCTCCGTAAGACCAGACTGTAAGGTTTGAACCACCCACACCGGGAAGGTCCTCTACTCTTTTCGATGAGTGAGGCGGGTTCTTTAACGTTTGTGGGGTGTGGCTCTCCCCAAACATGATCATCTCCATCCATTGTTCTGTAAACACAGAGTGGGTGTTTTCTTAGCTGGGCCCTACAAATGTGCAGACTTTTTGTCATCTTTGATTCTTACAGGAATTTTGCCACCCAAGGCACAGATTCTGGATGACACTGACCCTGACATACAGATGTAAGTATTGCCCTTATAACACTGTCTTTGTTTCATGCACTGTTTTGAGGAGGCAAGAGTTGAATGAAGAAATGTGTACAGTACTACCTGTTTCTAAGCTTTTATACATATCGCTGAAGTGAATCTAAATCTTCTACTTAAATTTTGGTGACTTGAAACAAGGT